TAATAGTAAAAAATATTTGAAAATTATGTATCTGACAAAGGCCTAGCATCCAGGATCTACAAGAAACTCAAACAAACTGAAAGGAAAAAAAAAAAAACCCTATTAAAAAGTGGGTAAAGGACATGAATAGACACTTCTCAAAAAAAGAAATATAAGCAGCCAACAGACACATGAAAAAAATACTCAGCCTCACTAACCATCAGAGAAATGCAAATCAAAAGTACAATGAGATACTACCTAACTCCAGTAAAGATGGCCACCATTAATAAATCAAAAACCAATAGATGCTGTCACAGGTGCAGAGAAAAGGAAACATTTCTGTGCTGTTGATGGAAGTGCAAGCTAGTTCAACTTCTATGAAAAGAAACGTGGCTATTCTAAAAACAACCAAAAATTGACCTTCCATGCAATCCAGCATTCCTTTTCCTAGGAATACACCCAGAGAAACATAAATTGTTCTATCAGAGTAAGACTGCAACTCAACAACAACAACAACAACAAAAAGACACCTGCACACGAATGTTTACTGCTGCACTATTCACAATAGCAAAACACATGGAACCAACCCTACTGCCCACTGAAAGTGAACTGGATAAAGAAAATGTGGTACATATACACAACAGAGTTATTATACAGGCACAAAGAAGAACAAATCATGGACTTTGCAGCAAATAGGATGGAACAGGAAACCATCATGCTTAGTCATTTATCACTGAAACAAAGAACTGAATACCCCACGTTCTTGTTTATAAGTGGGACCTGAACATTAGTCACATTAGCACAAGGGAGGGATTGGAAGTCACTGGGCACTGCCAGGGGAAAGAGGGGTTATGTAGCAACACAAAGGGTACTTGGTCTTTTACCAGGGAAGTGAGAGCCAGTTGGAGGCCCGAATTTCAACTGCATGCAGTCTACCTGTGTAGTTAATCTTTACTTGTACCCTATAGCTCTATAATAAAATTTTTAAAAACTCAAGATAAAAAGTAGAAAAGCCGGAGCCGGGCTCGGTGGCTCAGCCTGTAATCCCACGCCTTTGGGAGGCTGAGGTGAGTGGATTGCCTGAGCCCGCGGGTTCGAGACCCGCCTGGGCAGCGAGACCTCATCTCTACAATAAATCAAAAAATCAGCTGGGCGTGGTAGCGCATGCCTGTAATTCCGGCTACTCGGAAGGCTGAGGCGGAAGGATCGCCGGAGCCCAGCAGGTCGAGGCTGCGGTGGCCGGGAGCGGCCACTGCACTCCAGTCTGGGCGACAGAGTGAGACTCCAACTCAAAAAAAAAAAAAAAAAAAAATGTAGAAAAGCCATTTTTGCATTTTTCATATAATATAGCACATGCTATTACTGCTTTAAGCTGCAAATCGTTGACAGTCAGTTGTGAAGCATATAAATGCCAAGGACATAGAGGGTTATTCAGTCAAGAGCAATTGTGTCAAATTCTAACTAAGATCAAATTTGATTTTTTGAGCATTGGAGGTGAGGTCATAATGGATATTTTTAAACCTACACTTGTTCAAGTAACACAGTTAAGTTTTTATACTAAAATATATGTATCATAATCAGAATAAAATTTTGCTTTATTTTCAATTAACAAAATCACTTATGGTCAATGAAGCATTTCAAGTTCAATAAAATCTTGCTACAGTTTACTAACATTGAAAGGAAACTTCCCTTTGTTTTATTTTATTATAAAAATTATATAGTATTGAAAGAAATATTTCAAAGGAAGATAGCTATAAAAGTTCTGACCCATAAATATTCTCAGTATTACATATTATCATGAATATTGGGGGCAAATGCATACATATTTGTACATAGTAGCTATCATGGCTAAACATAAATATTTACAACGTACTCATTTTCTTCTAGTTAAGGGTCTCATCAGGGTCTCTTAACTCTCATATAGGGGGCTGGACTCGGTGGCTCAGCCTGTAATCCCAGCACTTTGGGAGGCTGAGACGAGTGGACTGCTGAGCCTGAGGGTTCAAGACCCGCCGGGGAACTTGGTGAGACTTTGTCTCTACAATAAATCAAAAATTAACCGAGCGTGGTAGCGTGCGCCTGTAGTTCCAGCTACTTGGAAGACTGAGGTGGAAGGATAGCCAGAGCCCAGCAGGTTGAGGCTGTGGTGACCGGGAGCATGCCACTGCACTCCAGTCTGGGCGACAGTGTGAGACTCCAACTCAAAAAAAAAAAAAAAAACTCTCATCTAGGGAACATAAATGATATTTACCAAGTGCCTCTTTGCGCAATGCTCTATACAAGGCATGCATACATTTTCATTAATTCTGTTTCGCAGATAAAGAAACTAAGGCTCAGACATGTTCAATTAATAAATAATTAGTAATAAATAATAAAACTAGAACCCAAGCAAAATGTACTCAATGTCAAAGCCTTTAAACTACAGGCTAATGCGTTGGCACTGTCTTACACCTGACAGACTTCTAATTACAATTTTGTTTGGAAATCTATGTTTCTGTTCTTAAAAAGTTTACAGAACACAGCAAATTCATAAAACTGTGCACTAGCCTTAATAGCATTTAGTCTTTATTACTATGAAGTATTCAAATGATCTAAACATGGACTCTGTGACTCTTTGTCCTCCTCAAGAAGCAACACAAATACAGGATTCAAGATCTATGCAAGGTGAAGGCGATGTTCTCAAGAGTGTCTAGGCACAATAATGTTTTTTTTCTCTGTCAATTGCTTTGTGGCAAAATTCTTATACAAATCATCCTCCTATTAGGCATTATGTTTTCTCTTCAGAAAGCTGAAGTAGCTGGGCATGGTGGCTCACGCCTATAATCCTGCACTTTGGGAGGCCGAGATGAGAGGATCGCTTGAGCTCATGGGTTCGAGCCCAGTATGGGCAACTTGGTGAGACCTCATCTCAACAATAAATCCAAAAAAAAATTAGCCAGGCATGATGGCGCGTGCCTGTAGTTACTACTACTTGGAAGGCTGAGGCAGAAGGATCACCTGAGCCCAGCAGGTCAAGACTGTGGTGGCCATGAGAACCTGCCACTGCACTCCAGCCAGGGCTACAGAGTGAGACTCTGACTCAAAAAAAAAAAAAAGAAGAAGAAAATTTTAAAAAAAGCTGAAGTAGAGGCCAATTAGACCACAGTGGAAACCAAAGCAGAAGAATTGATGCCCCGATAATAAGCTTGATGTAAAGCATGTTCATAAACAGTCCCCTCGTGTCTGTGTTACCCATAGTGAACCCAGGCGAGAAAGCACTAAATTTGGAAAGATGTCTGTGTTGCTCTTGCTCTGTCACTTACTGGCCAGGTAATCTTACACAAATGACCCTGCATCTACCCAGTGGAGGAAAAGAGAAAACACAGTGGTTACCAAACTCTATTGCATATGAGAGTCACCTGAGGAGCTTTTTAAAAATTCAAGTGCCCAAGTTTCACCCTATGGGAATTAAACCAGAATGTTCAGGCATTGGATACAGGTTTCAGAATTTTTTAAAGATGCTCAGGTAATTTCAATATGCAGCAAAATGTTTTTCAAGAAACAAAGGAAAATTGCCATTTAACGTTAGTAGAACTGCAGCAAGATTTTATTAAACTTTAAAGAGTTTGGGAGCTCTGAGTTATACCCTCACAGTGCAACTTTAAAGATGAAAAAAGTGAGGGGGAGGATTTCTACATTAACAATACTTTACAGAATTCTATATCATATCCCAATCACTTACTCTTTTCTGCCAGAACTTCAGAAAAAATTTTACAGTTTTTTTTTGTTTGATTTTAAGCTTTCATAGCAATGTTCAATCTTTTAAATGCTTCTTTTCATTCTATATTAAAATTAAGAAAAATATTATCGGTCTTGTTTTCTTCAGAAAATATCAAACACTATACTTTGATCAGGTGTTTAAAATAACTAGAAAAAGAGACCAGGCGTAGTGGCTCACACCTATAATACCAGCACTTTTGAGGCCAAGCTGAGAGAATTGCCTGAGCGCACAGGTTCGAGACCAGCCTGGGCAACTTGGTGAGACCTCATGTCTACAATAAATAACTAAACAAATAAATAAATGAAAATTAGCCAGGCATGTTGGTGCATGCCTGTAGTTCCAGTTACTTGGAAGGCTGAGGCAGAAGGTTGCCTGAGCCCAGCAGATCAAGACTGGGATGGCCATGAGCGTGCCACTACACTCTAGCCTGGGCAACAGAGACTCTGATTCAAAAATAAATAAATAAATAAACTAGAAAATAATATTAGATTGAATGGACAGAAAAGAAATCTCAGTAGTCAGAAATAAAATAATTTGTCCAAGTACTAGCTCAAACCAAAAAATTATACTCCAAGTATTTTGTTCCAATATTCTACCATAATAATTTTTAAAACAAAAATCTCTTCAGTAAATTTTTCTAGGCTAAGTTTCTCATTGCCTAATGACACAATGATTTCTCTGCTAAGTTTTTAATCAATACATTAGATTTAGTCAGTTTGTATACGGCATTCTTAATACGATCATTTTTCATCACCTTTTATTTAATTAGACTCACCAAAAGGATTATGTAATTTATGTAAGCAGAGTATAAATAACATGTTGCCTAATTAGAAAGAACTCTCAGTACTGTGTTGCTAGTAAACACCTTGATGTGTCCATTCACACAAAAAAATTCTCAAATTACACTCAATTACTAAGCAGTTAAGATCTGAGTGTCACATGTTCTCGCTCATATAGTGGACCTTGACTGTCTATCATAATACGATCAGGAAAGGACTGACAGTGGTGGGAAACTATGGGGGGTGGTAGAGTGGGGAAGGGAGGTGGGACTAACCATCTATCTGGAGTCAGAGAGACACCCCTTATTAACAAGGGTGCCTGAAGGATGCACATTTGTATACCTAACCCTTAACTGTACCCCACAATTTTGTAATAAAAAATATGTTCAAAAAATAATAAATAAATAAATAAATAAATAAAATAAAGGAAAAAAAAATGTAATCTACCATCTAACAGTGATATTTGTACTGGCATCTTTTACCTTTGTGGGCTTGTTAGCCTCCATGCTCTCTTTGAATTTCTCCTGCACAGTTTCTGCCAGTTGACAAAGCAAGGCACCATTGTCCAACTTCTCCATAAAAGTTTCTGCTGTAATCTCCTTCCCTGAAATAACCAAAAAAAAAGGGCATTATAAAAGCATAATAACTCCCCAACACAAATGTCAGATTCACATTAACATATTGACCCAATTTTTTAGTCACTCAAATTTCATTCCAGCTGAGTTACATATCTGGGATAGGAACTTACAATAATTTCTTCTTTGGAATATTTTTTTCTTGTGGTTGCAAGAATCTCTACATTTTAAATTTTCATAATATAGTTCTGACTGCATAAAAGTGTTACCTCACATTAAAGGTGGCAAAATGCTATCCTGGGTGAAAAAGTACTATCATTTAGTAATCAGGGGAATGCAAACCTGTCAGTGAAACTCAAAGAACCAGTTTACCAATGATTACACAGTTTGAGCTCTATGATTCATTTTGATGTTCAGCCTCAGTGGCCAATTCAATTTATCTGACCTATCAGGCAGGACATCAAGCAGGACAGCATTTTTGTGTTGGGTGTACATTTAATTATGAGAACACTTTATATCTCTTTTATTTATTTAAAAATACAGTCATGTATACAAATACATCAGCTATTACTGGCAATTTTAATAACACAGGCAATGCATAAAACCTCATCTCTAATTCTATTAAACTGGCTTTCCTGATTAAAATAATACAGGTGAAAAATACAAATGATAAACTCTCTGTTAGAAAGCATTCTGTTTTTAACCACACCGTTTCCTACCACAACCCTTCAACTGTGAAATTATTAGGTTTTGACCTCTGCTTTTTTCTCTCCTCACAACTATCCTCACAGCTTCAACTTCTGCTCTTAAAAATATGATTCACAAACCCTCATCTGTGACATTTAACTGCCTCCCAGTGAAACATACTTACCTCTTATACGGCCCCTAAAGCATTTTTCTTTATTTTATGACAACTCCATTTAGGTATAATTTGTATGCCTTGTAATCCAGCCATTAAAAGTGTATGATTCCATGTCATTTAGTATATTCGGAGTTATACCATCATCACCATAGTTTGAAAACATTTGTGTCATCCCCAAAAGAAACCTTGTATCCTGTAGTTATTACACCTGACTCCTCCATCCTCTCACCCTATGAATATGCTCTTTCAAATGTTATCGCTCCCAAAGTTCTCTCCTTTTCCTGGTTCCCGTTTCTCTAAATTTCACAGTATTTTCTTTTCCTGCTTTTCGTTTCTGTAGTTTACTAGTCTTACACCCTGTAGATTCAAGCTTCCTTCTATTTCTCATGCCATACTCTTAACAAAAATCTTCATGACCTGATACCTCAAGCAACAAAAGCAATGGGTATTCCTTGCATCCTCAACTTCTCTCTCCATAATGCCATGCCCACTACTAAAATCAATATTGTTTACCTTCATCCTCACTGAGCCATGCTCCACTCATACACCATTATTACACAGTCCTTAATGGCCTCTATCTAAAATATGAAATCTATACACTTTAACCCACTATCCGAAGATTTTCCCATATGCCTCTAACATGGCTTTTGCATCTAAGATCCCTACACCCTGCTCTGTGATCTACAGGCTGCCTTCACAAACCTTTTCTGTTTCTGCTGCCATGTTTTTGTTTGTTTGCTTCTTTTCTTTCTGGCATGGACCTTACCCTCAGAGTCCTACCTTCTACCTTCTTGGCCAAGTTCTATCATTCCTTTAATCACAGTTCCAGAGAGCGATTTTCCCAGTGCAAGCTGATCTCAAAAAAAATAAAATAAATAAAATGAAATTTCTTTATTTTTTAAATTTAACTTGAATTTTATTTTATTTTTGAGTCAGAGTCTCACTCTGTCGCCCAGGCTGAAGTGCAGTGGCATGACAACAGCTACTGCTGACTTGATCTGCTAGGCTCAGGCAATCCTTCCACCTCAGCCTTCCAAGAAGCTGGGACTACAGGAGCTACTTGGACCACATCACATCCAGCTAATTTTTTATTTTTTTATTTATTGTAGAGATGAGGTCATGCCATGTTGCCCAGGCTGGTCTTGAACTCCTGGGCTCAGAAAATCTTCTTGCCTCAGCTTCCCAAAGTGCTGGGATTACAGGTGTGAGCCACCACACCCAGTCTTGATCCCTTTTTTTGTATGTTCCTACTCATGAAGATTACTTACTTTGGCACTTATCAACCATATTTTTCTATAACTAGCAATATGTTTTGTATGTAGTTCTTGTCTTCTTCAATATGCTATAAACCTCAAGGTATAGCTTTTTTTAAATCTCTTAAAGACGTATGCATAATATTATTCACATGGTAGTTCAGAAAGCATGCAAATTAACAAATAAAAACAAACTACTAGAAAATATTGAATATTTGCAAAATGTAATAAAAGTTAAAAGCCAAAATTAAAATACTTTAGAATTTAATACCTAGACTTTCATAAGCTTATATTTTAGCTTAAGAAAAATGCATGTAGCTCAATTTCATGAACACTTAAATATAATCCAGCTGGAACAATAGATAAACTATTTGCTTCAAGTTAAATATGTAATATCTAATATATCTGGATTTTGAGAAACATCTGTTTAAAATGATTTTTTAAAAAATTTTTTGGGGGTGAGCAAGGAGGGAAAAATAATTACTTTTTTAAAATGTTCTCTTTTCCCTACTGGATAATTCATATTTTAACCCCTAGTTAGGATAATGACTTCTGCAGGTGGAAAAACATCAGTAGCTCTAAGTACTCACCACACAGGTAGCCTATCAGAGCTACTTTTATTTCAAAATTGCATGCAGCTCAACTCAATTCCAAAAAAAGTAGCAGTCTCAAGACACAAAAAGCCAGCATGCCAGAAGTTTTATTGTGTATTCAACATATTGGCCAGAATTTTTAAAAATAAGAAAGTACTTTGGCAAGCAGATATGAAAAGTAAACATTAGAAATATTTTAAATTATAAATGTACTCAAATATGTTCAAACTTCAAAATAAACAAGGTAAGCTTTACTCTAAATTTTTAATGGTACCTTTGCAAATTAATTATAAGATTTCTACATTTAGAAGAGATCTTTAGGTATAATTATTTCATTAAGTTCCATGGCAATATGAAGATTCCATTTATAATTTTAAGTGACAAGATGATTACAATAAACTTAAAAGAACTTACTAGACATAAAAAGAATAATGGTTTTTATTAAAAAGCCATTCGCAATTTACCAAAAGTTAGGATTTTAACTTTTTATATATTATTTATCTGAAGATTTTTAGTTATCCTGCTTTTCATGAGTACTTGAAGAAAGAATTTTACCTCAAACATCTGTATCTAATGAAAAATATATTAGGTGTCGGCTTTCAGTTCTGTATATTTTATAGCTTAAAAGGTGAGATTTTTTTTTTTTTTGGCTAAAATACGCTGCTACATACTTTATAGTTGAAATGTACTGCCTCAAATGAAAAAAATGCAAGACTGAAAAGTTTTTTAATCCTTCATATATAATGTATTTTCCTTCCAATAATTAAGAATTATTAAATATACATTTTATAAGTACTGTATAATTGTAAGAAATCATATATACTCTTTATGTGGAATGATATTATCTCACTCTTTATTGCATTATATTTCATAAATGTTATTAACAATATTTTTAAAGGAAACAGAATAGAAGATAAAACTAGTTGAATTTAACTATGACAAATCCATAAGAACTGGCTGTGAAGAACTAACTACAACTTCTCAAGTAAAAGTCATACAAAGCTAAATATCTCTGTTAAACAGAAACAGATCCTCTTTCATCTAAAGTGTATAGCTGGTTTGACATGTCAGATTATATACATTAGAAGCAGTGTGATTTTAGCACCAGAAGATTATTTATTCCTCAACACCATCTTTTCAGTGTTGGCTTTAGGAAAAGAAAGTGCAATAAACAGATATAATTAAATCATGGAGTCCTGACCTGCACTGGGTTGTAAAGACTAATGGTTTGAAGATTAACCTAGAGCATCCTAGTATAGAAGCAATATTTTTACTTCCTGAGTTTATAATCGTGAACTTTTCTTCACATAATCATGTCAGCCTTGACTGACAGCTTGCTTGTAGACAAGAATTGGAGAGTTTAATTAAATATTGTGGTTAGTCACTTCCCCTTAAATATTAGGATGAATGATAGGAAATAAACTGCTGCCCCAAATATTTTATCTGGCAACTAAAATAAATGCACATGTTTATGCACATCAGTGTAGTCCGTTCAGAAATATGATTGCCATAATTTTCATCAAGATTTAAGTATCAATCTATAAATTGCTTTAGACTGTAGCCACCAGGAAAAAAATGATACTTTTTTATCGTCTATGTTTCTGAGGGAAAAAAAAGTTTACCTTCCAATAAATTAGCAGTACTGAATTTCTAAAGATTTCTAATAATAATATTATAATATTTAACAATTGAGTTATTATAAGCCAGGCATTGTTCTAAGCACTTTATAGGTACTCATGTGTTTATTCACTATTCTCCAACAACTATGAAGTGGGTGCTACTATTATATATATTTTACAAATAATAAAGCTGAGATGTGTAGATTAAGAAATCTGCCTAAAGTCACACAGCATGTAGAGGAGTGTGGCCCTTTAACCTAGGCAGTCTAAGATTAGAGTCTGTGCTCTTTGCCACTATATTAGACCACTAAAATATTGACTGAACACATAATTGACTGTTTGCATTCTCCCTAATGCAGTTGTCTTTTTTTCTTTCTTTCTTTCTTTTTCTTTTTTAGTCTGGTCTCACTCTGTTACCCAGGTTGAAGTGCAAAGGCAGGATCAACCACCTGGGACTAGGTGATCCTCTCACCTCAGCCTCCCAAGTAGCTGGGAGTAGGAGTGTGCATCATCATGCCTGACTATTTGTTTGCTTGTTTTAGTTTTTCGTTCTGTTTCTTATTTGTTTGTCCGCATAACCGAGGTCTTTCCATCTTGCCTAAGCTGGTGTCAAACTCCTGGCCTCAAACAGTCCTCCCATGTCAGCCTTCCAAAGTGCTGGGATAGCAGGTGTGAGCCCCTGCACCTACCCATAGTTCTTTT